ATGGATTGAAACAAGCACATATAGCTTGGTACACTCGTATCGATTCTTATTTTATTGGACATGGATTTCAGAGATGTCCATATGAGCATACTTTATATATCAAATTCAAGCCTGGCGAAGATATTCTCATTGTGTGCTTATATGTGGATGATTTAATTTTTACTGGCAATAATCCTAAATTAAATTCTGAGTTTAGGGAGGCAATGATTAGCCAGTTTGAGATGACTGATTTGGGTTTAATGTCTTATTTTCTTGGCATTGAGGTATCTCAATTAGATAATGGAATATTTATCTCTCAGAAAAAATATGCTGGTGATATTCTAAAGAGAATTAATATGGATAAAGCCAAACCAATTTTGACATTGTTGAAGAAAAATTGAAGTTGGTTAGAGATGGGACTGGTAACTTTGTCGATCCTACATATTTTAGAAAATTGGTAGGGAGTCTAAGGTACTTGACTTCTACAAGGCCTGATATTACTTATGCAGTTGGATTAATTAGCAGATTTATGGAGACTCCACGGCAATCCCACTTGCAAGCAGCAAAGAGAATTTTGAGATATATTCAAGGTACACAAACTGATGGTATATTTTATTCACAGACTAATGACAGTAGTCTTGCGGGATTTACAGACAGTGATTGGGCTGGTGATACAATACAAAGAAAAAGTACTTCTGGCTATGCATTTTATTTGGGTTCTGGTGTATTTTCTTGGTCTTCCAAAAATCAACAAGTTGTTGCTTTATCAACGGCTGAAGCAGAGTACATGGCTGCAACAAGTAGTGCTACACAAGCATTGTGGTTAAGAAGAATGCTTGGATTTCTTCAATACAAGCAAGACAGTCCTACAATAATTTTTTGTGATAGTAAGTCTGCAATTGAGTTAACAAAGAATCCAGTTTTTCATGGGCGTAGCAAACACATTGATAACAAATTTCACTTTATTCGTGACTTGGTTCAAGACAAAGAGATAGTTATTGAGTATTGCAAGACTGGAGAGCAAGTTGCTGATGTTTTCACAAAGCCACTAAAATTGGAGTTATTCATCAAGTTGAAGAAGATGTTGGGCATTATCAAATTTGAAGATCTTGGTTTGAGGGAAGCTGTTGGAAACTAAACCAAGATTAATTAGTATTCTAAATTGTCTAGGATTTGATATTTGGTAGTTTATTAATTCATATCTAGTTAGGTTTTGTTTATCAATTTTATATTGGAATAGGTTTTTGGTTTTGTAGTATTATAAATAGGGGTGCTACTACTTGTTTTTTCTTGAGAAGAGATTCAAGAGTTTATGAGTTGTGAAAAACTCTCCTACCAAGTTCTCTCCCTAGTTTAATAAATTTCTTCTAAATAGCTTTTCGCTAAATTTTTTGCTTGTGCCTAAATTGTTCATCGGGGTATTTCAACCCTTCAGTTCCCCACGACATTATATAGTTTAAAGGGTTCGAGTATCTGATGGTATAAAAAAATTGTACGCCAACAATAATGTACAGAACTTTAATTCTAGTCTAGTTTAGAAAGCTAAAGTAAGAGCAACTCAATATGGAAGGTTCGTTAGAACTGTTAGTACAAAATGGACTCATTTCTCCTTGTGAAGTCATTAAGAACAAAAGAAACATATCTCCATACTAATTAGAGAGAAAACACATACCCCTATATTGCAAGAACAAAAGGCTTGGTCACAACACTGCATAATTACAAAATATATCAATAGATAAAATAGTAAAGGTCTGGTCTAAGTCAAAAATGTTTATATGTATACTGAAAATCATAAGTACTTGACCAATTTATGGCTTTTGATTGGTTTTCATTTTATTCCTTTTAAATAAAGTTACCCGGACAGTAGTCTGGATTGTGTTGTTTTACCAAAAACGTGCGTCCTTATACTAAGCATTTGCCAATTATCAAATAAGAAAGGGCATTTAGCATTTGTAGGCAGTTGTTGCTATGTTTGACAGATTAAGCTCTGATTAGTAGTAGCGGTAAGTTTAGCCAAAGAATCAATTACTTGATCCCCTCCCTAAAGCAATGATTATTGGGATTGAAATAATATGATGCATGCGGAAACTAATAATACAAAGCTTGGCGGGCGATAAATCAGACGACAAAAAAGATATACTAAACTAAGCATAATAGTTTATAATGGTTTGGTCAATTGACCTACATATGATAAAACTAATATAAAAGAAGAAAAACTATCGAGAGAAAAATGCAAAAGAGGATGATANNAAAACTCTTTAATGACTACATTGTGGATATTTTTTTGTGCTCTTGTGAGAAGCAGAGATCCTTAATTTATAGATGTGCAAAACTTGTCTTCCAAGAAAAGGATAAGACATATTAAGGAGATTTAATCCTTTTAGGAGTCTTTTTCCATTCCTTCAAGAAAGAGAACCCTATTAGATTAGAAATTCAAGGCAAATCCTAATAATGTTGCACAGTCATATTGTCAAGTTGTATAATACCAATGATCCAGGCTATCGCCATCTTGATCAAGTTATTAGTGACTCTGTTTGAAAGCATGTTGGTGATGACCATGGAGTCCAATTCGAGAGAAAAATTAGTGTATCTAATTAATTGCACCATTTCCCTCCAAACTCTGCGGTCATTGCTTCTGCCATATTGTTGCTGTCACAAGTAATTGGCACTGAAAAGGCCATAAGTCACTATTGTTGTCCCTTATGATGCCTCCTATTTTTACCACTGTCTTTTATGTAACTGCCGTCAATGTTGATTTTCATTTATAAGTATTTTTGATGCTTATAAATAAGCTAAAAGTATTTATAAGTTAATTTGACTAGCTTATAAACTTATTCAAATACCATCTTATCCGGTCGATCTTATCTAATTTGAAAATTAATGTGCATTCGATATATGATACAAGGACCTCCCAATTACAAGAGATCTTTTTAATTAAACCTGAAGAAAATGTAAAGCCTATCCTTCAAATTCTGATACTTGGAAGTCTAAGAACACATGAAGAATCCCAATTATGCAAAGACATAATATTTTAAAAGAATGACATCCATTTTTTGCATATATATAGTATAACTTCTACGACTTTTTCTTATATATAATCACATTTTTTTAGCATATTAGTATACAGGTAGACCTGTCTAATGCTACTGGCTGGATTGACCTCATTCGGACCGAGATTATTTAATATGGTGAAGGACGTCTTTTAAAATTAAAGCTTTTCCAATTATTTGTGAAAATTCGTTGTAAAATCTAGCTTTAAACTTTGTACATTTATATCGTAGTTACTTCTAATTGCAGATAACAATGTGATGATAAGCATGTAATTCATGTGATCTGCTTGTACTTATTATTATTTCAAACATACGTTGCATGTGTGAGCATGTAATTCATGAAGTATACTTTTATCTTAATTAAACACGCGTTACAAGCACGTCTCAAGTCTAATCCTAATTTAATTTCCGTTGAGTAAATCCATCATTTAATTGTACATTAACTGATTAGATTAACGAAAAACTAGAACTCTAATAATTAACAGGATAGACAATATGACATATAATGCTAGAAAACATGACAACAAATAGAGACCAAGTCTCGTGTAGCAAATTCAAACTCTTATAGATCTTTCAGATCTGATAAACTTAATGTTTATTATTTTTTTCCGCTTTATTTTATGTGATAAATTTGAGTAAACACAAAGTTAATATATAAAAAAAAAAGATTTTTTTAAACTTTTTTATTTTAAGCGCGTTATAATATTTTTGTGACTCTAACACCTTGTCATTAAAATAATATATGAGAAGTTTCAAATTAGATTATTTTAAATAAATAAACATGTTATTATTCTTTTCTTTAAAAAGAGACTGAAAAAAGAGTGCACACTAAATGTTCATATTTCTAATGTGTTGCTAAAGTTATTTTTGAAAACTAGAAAAACAGAGCGTACTATAATCATATAGGAGTAGATTAGTAACACACGCTGTTTAGCTCGAAAATACGAGTAACAATAAAATTTGATTTGTGGCTTTAAAGATACGTGATTTAGTTCAATACCAATTAATAATCAAGAAATAAGAAGTAAAGATAAAAGAAATTAGTGAATCAAACCAACGTAACTCATCAGTAGCGACCTCGAGACAGGCTAATAGCAATAAAATAAGATAAGTAAAGTAAGAACAGAAGAGCTAAAGGACAATGCTGATGAATAGTAGGCAAAAAGTAGAGAGTATATTCTTTTCTCAGTGATCAGATGATCTTACAAATGATTGGGGTCCCCTTTATATAATAGGGGAACCCTAAATAAGGAATATTTCTATTTACAATAGGGAATATTCTTGATACAGATGTCTAACTGCCTAGTATGGAATCGTACAATCTTGTTCCGGGATTTGTGCCACGATTATTGGGACGTGGCAAGAATCTAGCTCATTCTGTTACAAATTCCTAACGGTACTATTTCGGGGTCGAGTATACTCGGACCTGGTATTCCTCGTACCCCTATCTCCGGGCATTGTACTCTGTCTTCGAGCTTGCCTCTAGTCCACCGGTCTCGAACTCGACCTTGCCTGAACTCGGCCCTATGACGGACCCTCGATCCTGTAAAACGGAGGCCTCTAATTTTGACCGTATACAGATAGTCCCCGCGTTTCTTAGAATAAGATGATAAGAAACGATTAGAACTTCGATTTTCGGAGCCCATCACGATGATGTCATCCTTATGACGCAGGCGCTCGAAGTGACTAAAACGTCCCGTCGTGACTGAAACGTCCCGTCGATTCGCTTCCCCAAAATATTAGATGCATGCCAGTACTGGTCGGCCACTAGTGCCGCCGAACCGTTGTTGTCCTCCTATAAATATGAGGCTATTCCTTTGAGTAAAGGATTTTACTCCTTCATTACATCTTTCCCTTCTTCATCTCTTTCTCTAATCACCTATTTCTACCGCTTCTTTAAGCGTCGGAAAACGCCGGGTTCTTGTAAAAACACCACATTCAGACACAGTCTGTATCCTTTAGTTTGAAACCATGGCTAAAACTTCCAAGACGGTCCCCAAAAAAGATAAAGCGTCAACTTCTTCTACCTCTCAGCCGGCAAAACCGGTGGTGCCGCCGACTCTTGAAGAAATCACCCCCGGCCCTTGCGTGATTAAGAAGGACTTTAGTATTGAAAATCCCCCCTGATGTCCCAGGCGGATGCGAGCATGCATCTCGATATCTTAGTTTGATATCGGAGAAGCATCTTAAAGATGTGAAGAAGGACTGTGGTTGGGGAGATGAGGTCGTGGTTCAGATCCCAAGCCCAGGGGAAAGCATTACTACCCACGTGAAGGGGTTTTTAAGTGTTTACACCTACCACTTCACACTGGGTCCCCTCGATCCGGTGGTGATCGACTTCTTCAAAACATACGAAGTCACCCTCGGCCAGATTCACCCCTCTTTTTGGCGTATCGTGATCATGCTGCGCTACTTTTCCGAAAAGGACGAGGGGTTGGAATTCACCCTCAGCCACCTGATTCGATTGTATCGGCCCTAACTATTTCGAGGGCTTATCAAGCAGCAACGTCGAACAACGAAAGCCTTTTTTGCTAGTACTGATGAAACCAAAGATCGTGGTTGGATGAGCCGGTTCGTTAGAGTAAGAACTTCGGATGCCATCCCCAGGGATAAAATGCCGTTCTTGGAGAGGTGGAACTTTAATCGTAAGCGGAGTTCTTTTTCCCAGTATCTATTCATATTCTGCTTTCACAGTTTATAATGCCTTTACCCTTCTTTTGGCAGCCACTGCCTAGGCGCCCCACGCGGTGCCAGACCTCGAGGATTGGGTCCGAAAGTTAGCTGTCACCTCCTCCTACGATGAGCGCAAGTGGCGTGAATTATCAAAGGGCCAGTGAGAGGCCAAGAATCATGGTAAGTGCTTTTCCCAAGTTTCAAATACTTTTCATATATTGGTGGCGTCAACTTATTCACATTTACTTGTGCAGGCCTTGGAGATGCATCCGAGATGAGGCCGGCTCCGCCCGGGGAAAAGACCAAGCCTTCGATTTCAAAATCGGGGAAGGACAACAAAAGGAAGAGGGTCTCGAAGCCTGAAGATCCTCAAGATAAGAAAACCCCTGCTCGAAAGCTGCGGAAGAGATTTGCTCATGCGGACGCAGATTCGGCCTACGATTCCCCGGATGATGAAGAAAATGATGGTGAAGAGTCGGCGTTGGTGCCTCGAACCAGAAAACCAATCGAGGACGCCAAGCCCTCCGAACTAGAGGCCTCATCTCGTGGTGAAGGAACCCTAAAGAAAGATGCGGGCAAGGCCTCCGTGTCCCCAGAGGTTGAGATCGTTCCTACGCCTTCAACAAATATGCTTGAAGGGGCAAATGCGGAGACCCCCGAAGCTAATGAGAACGCCCCGAGTGACGAGCTCGGGGCCACGACAGCAGGCCACTCCCTTTCTTTGCCAACTTATTTCGAGGATGCAATAGAAGAAGCTAACGCTCTGCGTATGCCCGATCCGAGCAAGGTCCTCGAAGAAGATCCCTTTTAGAGTTTTTTTGCTGGGGTCAATGATACCACCGACCTTAACGATGCATCCATCCTCTTTGAAGAGGCCCGACATCTCCTCTCTCGGGCAAGTACTTTCTTTCATTTTTGTAATTTTCTCTTTCTTTCTTTCCCTTTGACTAATATATCTTCATTTCATGTATAGGACATTGTAAAGTTTAGAGCTGAGTTGAGCCAATGTGAGGCCGAGCTCAAGAAAGTTTCGGGCGAAGAGAAGGCCCTGAGGCTCCCCTGTAACCAAAAGGAGGAGGAGCTTAAGGATCTTCGGGCTGAATTGGCCAAAGCCCAGAAAAACGAGGCCGAGCTAGATGAGCAGGTAACTGTGATATTAACAGGGTGCGGTCTTCTTGGCCCTACTCCGGAGGCTAACACTTCGATATCTCAGCTGCAGCAAAAGTTGGAGATGATTGGGCAGCTCCGGAACGAGGTTGACCAAGTTAAAGCTGATTGTCATAGGTGGAAGAAGAACATGGATTAGCTCGCTGCCGATAAGGAAGTTGTTACAGCCCAACTGGCCTTGGCTGAAACTCAACTCCGAGGCATTAAAGCAAAGGGTTTGGCCCAGGTTAAGAAAATTGAGGAGTTAGAGGCAGAGCTTGCTAGAGCCCGGGCCGAAGCTGATAAAACGAAGGCCGCGGCTGATAAATCCATTGCCGTACACTTAAGGGACGCCGTGGCCGTTCAAGCTGAGTTGAGGGAGGCCTCCAACCGAAAAAAATGGAGCAATGATTTGGCCAAGTGCCAGGCCCGGAGGGAGACTCTCGAAGAAATCCATGCCCGAGGGTTCAACCTTGCCGAGGAGATAGCCGAGGAAAAGGCACGGGAAACCGATGCCAGGTTTCTTTTCTCTTCTGATGATGAGGATGTAGCGAGTGGCTCCGGGGACGGGGAAGGTGAAGAAGATGTTCCCGAGGGAGAGGAGGCTCCCGAAGATAGAGCTGCTGAAGGTGTAGTTCCTGAGGATGGCGCTCCCGGGGATATGACCCCGAAAATAGATTAGGTTCTCTTTTTCTTTTCTGTGCCAAGGCCCCTCGCGGGCGTTGTAAATATGTTTTGTAAAACACCTCTTATGAATATAAAGTATCTTTTCGCCCTATCCTTAACTTATGTTGAATTTTTTTTTTCATTTGCGGAAGATTTCGATAATTCAATCAATCAATCCGAGTATTGATTTCGACTCAGAACATAATAAACCCTTAGGTTTTTATTGATCAATGCAATACCCCTTAAGGTTTTGTTAATCTTCGAGCTAAGCTTCAATCAGTTCGATATGAGCTCGGAATAATGGGACTCTTGAGTCCGAGTTGAGTGAGAGCGAGGTCTCGAACTCTATATATTTTGGCCCTTAAGCTCTTTTAAGTTGGCCCTTAGGCTCTTATATATCGGCCCTTAGTCTCTTTAAGTTGGGCCGATTCAGCCCTTAAAGTGGCTATACTTTTTCCCTCTTTCCGGCTAAAAGACTTAGTAAACAAAAAATTTGTATGCCTTAGCATGTGTTTTTTGTACCCGTTTGGGTTTTTCGAAGGTTCGACGTATCGAAACCTTATTAGTAATTTGTTTGTGTAAACATCATCGAATACCTCTTGAGGTTTTTCCAAAGGCCGATGTTATCGAAGCCTTTGGATCATTCGAGGGCTGAATTTATCGAAGCCCTTAGATTTTTCGAGGGCTGAATTTATCGAAGCCTTTTATATTTTGCTTTTGCCGAGGGTAGCCTGATTTAACCGGTTTTTCGATGTTTGAAGGCATTTAATTTATAGCGGAAATCGAATGTCTTCGAGCCGCATTATTTAGGCCGTAGCCTTTTTATATGACCGTAGTCTTTAATATGGCCGTAGTCTTCGGGTATGTCACTTGGACTTGTTTTCTTATAACTTTTCGAACTTGTTTGAAAAGTAAGTCCCCGAGTATATTGGCCTTGGCCTTTGTTTCGAGGGGATACCTCTTTGAGGTCTTATGGGTCCGAGTTTTTGGTGACTCGGATGTATTGACTGTCGATGACAGTCCCCGAGTATTCGGGGGTGCTTTTATGTTTTGGCTCTTGAGCCGTTTCCCGTAGGATTATAAGTGTAGAGCTCGTATAATAGTAGACTTTTTTGAGATACAAAGTATTTTTGATATAAGCAGAATGCTTCTTCAAGTAATTTGATACATGCGTACATGTTTTGCCGTCAGGGCTCGACTATTCTATGTGGGCACCGTTCATCTGACCGTTTGGACCATTACAAAGTATTCCTATCGAGGCCCTCTTAGGCGTGAAGTATTCTCCTTGAAAATATAACCTCCGAGGGTGATGCCCCCCAGTATTCGAGGTTGATTGAAAAGAAGCCTTGGATACTGTTGAGTTCTCCTTAGGTAGCACATAATTGTTGCCTCATTAAAAACCTTGGCGGTAAAACCCATTTAGGACAAATCCGATCTAAGGGAAAAAAAGTGCAACGCATGCTTTAAAACCTAAGGCCTTCGTGTAAAAAAGGTGTCTTCGAGATCGCGTACCTTCGATAGCTTTGATCGAAAATCTGTAATAAGTTAGTTTTAAACTTAAATGGACAAAGGATAAATTCCTACCTTAGCAGTAGTATCGTTTGAGTAACGATATGTTCCAGTTGTTTGGCAGTTGTTCACCTTCCATTGTGCTAAGTTTGTAAGATCCTTTACCGACAACTCCGAGGACTCGGTACGGTCCTTCCCAATTCGGGCCTAGTTTCCCTTCATTAAGGTCTCGAGTGTTGAGGGTGACCTTTCGTAGAACTAAGTCCCTAATTCCGAAGTGTCGAAGGTTGGTCCTTATATGTAGTATCTTTCGATCCTTTGCTTTTGCGCGGCCATCCGAACAAGCGCTGTTTCTCGCTTTTCATCTAATAACTCGAGGCTAGCATTCTCGTGATTTGACTCCTCCGATACATGTTGAAACCTGGCGCTAGGTTCTCCAACCTCAACGGGGATGAGGGCCTCTGAGCCATATACTAAGGAAAACGGGGTGGCCCCCGTGCTAGACTTCGATGTCGTTCGATACGCCCAAAGGACCTCGGGTAAAACTTCTCTCCATTTCCCTTTCGCATCGTCCAATCTTTTCTTCATGTTTTGAATGATAGTTTTATTTGTTGACTCAGCCTGTCCGTTTCCAGTTGGATGGTATGGTGTCGATAAGATCCTCTTATTTTGTGTGCCTCGAGGAACTCTGTCACCTTGCTGCCAATGAATTATTTTCCATTGTCACACGCAATCTCGGCAGGTATCCCGAACCGGCATATGATGTGGTCCCAAATGAAGTCGATAACTTCTTTTTCTCTGACCTTCTCGAAGGCCTGTTCTTCCACCCACTTAGAAAAATAATCAGTCATAAACAGAATAAATTTAGCTTTACCTAGGGCCATTGGTAGAGGGCCGATTATGGACTCCATCCCCCATTTCATAAAAGGCCATGGGGATATGACCGAATGAATTTGTTCTCCAGGATGATGGATCATCGGTGCAAATCATTGACACTTATCACATTTTCTGATAAATTTCTTAATATCTTTTTCCATGCTATCCCAGTAGTAACGTGCTCTGATAACTTTGCGAACCAAGAACTCGGCGCCGGAGTGATTCCCACAAGTGCCTTCGTGGATTTTTCGAAGGACATAATCGGTGTCCCATGGCCCCAAACATACCTCCAATGGCCGATCAAACGTTCTCCTATACAATGTTTCATCTTCATCCAATGCACACCTAGCAGCCTTGGCTCGTAAGGCCCTCGATTCTTTGTGGTCCGATGGGAGTTTTCCATTTTCAAATAGTCAATATACTTATTCCTCCAGTCCCATGTTAGACTTGTTGAATTTATCTCGGCATGATTCTCTTCTACCACAGACCTTGATAATTGGACAACAGCCCCCGAGACGATGTCATCTTCTTCGACCGAGGATCCCAGATTGGCAAGCGCATCGGCCTCACTGTTTTGCTCTCGAGGCACACGATCCAGAGTCCACTCCTTGAAGCGGTTTATCCAAGTACCGTTGCATTCTATCCTCTCGAACCTCGAAACTTTTGTTTACTTGGTTTACAACTAATAGAGAATCGCACTTGGCCTCGATGATTTCTACTCCCAAGCTTTTAGCTTGCTCAAGACCTGCAATCATGGCCTCATACTCGGCCTCATTGTTAGTTAATCTTGAAGTTTTGATAGATTGCTTAATAGTATCACCTGTGGTTGGCTTCAAGACAATGACAAGCCTGGACCCTTCACATTCGAGGCACCATCCGTGAAGAGGGTCCATACCCCCGATGTTGTACCCGATCTTAACATGATTTCTTTCTCCACTTCGGGTACGAGGGTCAGCGTAAAATCGGCCACGAAGTCAGCTAGGATGTGAGACTTGATGGTCGTTCGGGGTTGATATTCGATATCGTACCCGCTAAGCTCGACGACCCATTGGCCAATCGGCCCGATAGCTTGAGCTTATGCAAAACATTTCGAAGGGGGTAAGTGATTAATACACATATATGATGACATTGAAAATATGGGTTTTAACTTTCGAGATGCGCTTATCAATGCAATTGCTAATTTTTCTAAGTGAGGGTACCTAGTTTTAGCATCTTCTAGAGTTCGGCTTACATAATAAACAGGAAATTGCGTACCTTGCTCTTCTCAAACTAGTACCCCACTTACCGCTCTCTCGGACACTGCCAAGTATAGATAAAGCCTTTCATCTACCTTCGGGGTGTGAAGCAAAGGCGGGCTCGACAGATATCGCTTTAATTCTTCTAAGGCTTGCTGACATTTCGGGGTCCATGCGAAATCCTTTTTCTTTTTGAGCAAGGAAAAGAAGCGGTGACTCCGATCCGACGACCTCGAAATGAATCGACCCAAGGCAGCTATTCGCCCTGTTAGCCTTTGCACGGTCTTCACACTATCCACGATCGTGATATCCTCGATGGCCTTGATCTTATCGGGGTTGATTTCGATACCTCGATTTGATACCATGAAGCCGAGGAACTTACTCGAGCCAACTCCGAAGGCACATTTCTCCGGGTTAAGCTTCATGTTGTATTTCCTTAAAATTGCAAATGTTTCTTGCAAATGAACTAAATGGTCCTTTGCGCGCAGGGACTTAACTAACATATCATCAATATAAACTTCCATTGTTTTACCTATTTGTTCTTCGAACATTTTGTTAACCAGGCATTGGTATGTAGCTCCTGCATTTTTTAGCCCGAAGGGCATTACGTTGTAACAATAAGTTCCAAACTTAGTAATAAACGAAGTCTTTTCCTGGTCCTTCGGGTTCATCTGAATCTGATTGTACCCGGAGTAGGCATCGAGAAAGGTTAGGATCTCGTGGCCAGCCGTGGCATCGATCATACGATCGATGTTTGGCAAGGGGAAAGAGTCTTTTGGACATGCCTTGTTCAAGTCCTTATAATCTATGCACATTCTAAGTTTGTTTCCTTTTTAGGAACTACAACCACGTTGGCTAGCCACTCAGGGTACTTTAACTCCCGAATATATCCTATTTTGAGAAGTTTGGTTACCTCGTCCTTTATGAAAGCATGCTTTACCTCGGACTGAGGCCTCCTTTTTTGCTTCACCGGTTTGAATCTTGGATCGGTGCTTAGGCGATGTGTGGTGATTTCCGGTGGAATCTCTGTCATATCTAAGTGGGACCAAGCAAAGCAATCCATTTTATCAATAAGAAATTGAATGAGTTTTTTCCTGAGTTCGGGGGTTAACCCCGTTCCCAGGTATACCTTTCTCTCGGGCATGTACTCGATCAAAATGATCTGCTCCAGTTCCTCGATAGTTGATTTGGTTGCATCAGATTCTTTGGGAACGACGAAGGTTCGAGGAGTAAGGAAATCCTTATCTTCGTCTTCGATTACCTGTTGCTCCGACCCCATCGAGGCTCGAGGCGGTGATTGCTATTTGGCCGCCTGCTTATTTTTAGTGCTCGACTTCTCCGAGGTCGAAGACTCTGGGTCGGCACCACTTCCTCGATTGCAAACATCTCCTTTGCA